TTAATCAACTCAACATTTCTAACTCTCATCAAAGTGAACGGTTAAAGGGTAAGTAGAAAACTTCATCCAAGCATTATAAATGGTTATCAAAGAGAAGGGTCCAACGTTCAAGGTTCAAGTCTGTGAGATCCCAAGTCAGTTGGAGAGGGAAACAAAACATTCCTTATAAAAGTACGAAAATCTCTCTCTAGTAGACGCGTTTTAAAACCGTGAAGCTGAAAGCGATACATAACGGGTCAAAGCAGACAATATTTGCTAGTGGGTTTGAACGGTTACAAAGCTCCAAATTGAAAACATAATCACTACGAAATCTCCTCCCTCTCTGTAGGGCGCTCTCAGGCAAGCAAAGCTTCCCAGAGATTAGTGGGATAGGCCATGAGCATAACGTTGAGGATCGTTGGGAGAGAAGTCTCATATTAGCTAATTAAGGGGTTGATCATGAGTTTATAAGTAAGGAATACATCTCCATTGGTACGAGACCTTTTGAGAAAACCATAAACAAAGCCACGAGAGCTTACGCTCAAAGTGGACAATATCAGACCATTGTGGAGAATCGTGGTTCCTAACACATAGGTCCCGACACCTTAGCTATTCAAAAAAAATACCGAAAGCAAAACTAATAGTACAAATTCACATAGGATGCAACCTTTTGAACTAATTTGGTGTCAATCCCACGTTGAGTATCCAGTTCAATACGTCTGCTGAACACCAAAATGAACAAATCTAACGAAGATGACATAATATTGTCCAGCCAAGAACAGAGTACACAATGCAACATTAAACGCCTCGAAATCGTGCAAAAACATATATGTATATATCATCACAGACCCATAACACCTCAAACCTGAGAATCACATTACACCCAGAAGAAACACGATCAAAAAACAGACAATCTCATGAAAATCAAACATCAACGAGAAACCCAAAGATGAACACGAATGAATGTTGGAATGCAAAGATGAACACGAGAATCGAAACCCATCTGCATTTGACAAGAATCAACCCAAAAAATGGATTTCAAAAATTATTGATAGCGATTATGAAAGCGATCACCTCTGCCTGATGGGCGATTGCTTGAAGAAGTAGAAGCCGCCGCAATGGGAGAATTTTTTGCGTTGGGCATGTTTACATTGCAAGGAAATACGTAAATTTGTTAAGTGAAAATAAATAACAAATTTATGGATCAAAATGTAATTAGCTCGAAATTTATGGTTCATTTTGAAAAATTTGTGATATTGCAATACTATTATTATGCTCAACCCATTTTTCTTTATGTTCTTAAGGCGCCGCCATTTAGTTCTTCATCTTTCCATCTTTTATTCACAATTTCAATACCCACTTCATAAAAATGAAAGATTATGAGTTTTGTTAAGGAAGCGCTTACCAAGGTGGCGGTAGCGGCGGCGGCGGCAGCTAGCAGCGAGGTGGTAGCAAATCAAGATGTCCACCGGGCTAGCTTCCTCATGAACCTTCTCATTTATTTATTTATTTTTGTCGGGATGGGTCTGAGATTCTCAGCCGAACTCGAAATAGTCATTTTAAAAAAAAAATTTAGCGTAGAGCTTTTATTTTTCAATATAAATTATTAATTGGTGTTGATTCACTCGGATTAGAAAACTATTAATTATGAAAGAGCTTAATAGCACTGCTAGCAAATATTATCCTTTTTAGGCTTTTGCTCTCAATATTTTAAAACATGTCTATTATGGAGAGGTGTCCGCTTTGCTCTCAATATTTTAAAACATGTCTATTATGGAGAGGTGTTGCGTCCTCTCAATGTTTTAAAACATGTATGTTACGAAGAAGTGTCGCGTCCTCTCAATGTTTTAAAACATATTTGTTACGGAGAGGTGTTGCGTCCTCCCAATGTTTTGAAACATGTCTGTTACGGAGGGGTGTCGCGTCCCCTCAATGTTTTAAAACATGTCTATTACGGAGGGGTGTCGCGTCCTTTCAATGTTTTAAAACATGTCTGTTACGGAGAGGTATCGCGTCCTCTCAATGTTTTAAAACATGTATGTTACAGAGAAGTTTCTATACTCTCTGTTCCCCTCTCTAATCAATGTGGGATTTCACCCTCTCGTTCCCTATCTGAAGTTGTTGAGGGAGATCCAATGCAGAGACGGATTCGTAAAAGTATCCACCTTCCTAATATATTTTGCATATTTTAACTTCTAGGGTAAGGATCGACAACAGTAGTGTAGTCCAAGGAGATAAAGTTCATAATATTTCGAGCTCTTAGATTATTAGAGACTAAAATATACGGACAGATTCATCTAAAAATGTTTGCTATAACAAATTTATCTCAACACCGATGTCTCGCCTTCTTCTTCGTCCATAAACGAGTCAAGTCTTAACAAAATTTCATCTGGAAAGATGATTATCAGTTCAACGATGTAAGATGCCCTTCCCAGCAGATATGACAAAACTTTTTCCTCGTGCAATATTAGTAACTTTCTCCTACTACCAACTTCAACATGTCGAGATATCCAAACACTTCGAACCCGTTTGAACACAATCTAATTGAAAGTCTTGTTCGAGAATCTTTGCTTCATTTACACAACTGAAACTCAAAGGAATTGAATTACGATCAAGATCATTATTACTCCTTACCCTAGCATTAATTACGCATGCCCGTTTTTCAATCTCACGAAATCTTGAAATTGTAATAGCAACTCCTTGTTATAGTAAAATATAAGGGTATTTTAGTCTTTTATTAAAATGTTCGTTTCTCTTGTTTGGTCATATAAGCAATACTTATATTCCAAAGGAATATTATTTTTTAACCTAAGTTTTATCCGTTAAAAATGTTTGAATATATACGATTTATGTGACATAATTTAAGAGGTACCTACGTATATGAAAATTAAAGAAGATGATTATTAATAATATTAATGACTATGTTAAGCCATTTATTAACATATATATTATAATGATAACAAAATAATTGAATTTGGGAAATATAATAATAATAATAAATATATAATATTTTATGGATAGGGTTTGAAGGTTGTCCTTTTGTGTGGGAGTGGGGCCGGTAGACAAGGACGTGCATCCCACCATCATAAGCGCATGCCACCCCACTCACACAAACCCTAGAATTCTTAATCACCATCCCCACACCTCCTCTCCTCGAGGCGGAAATGGGATAAGAAATATAATCTTCGTCTCCTCGAGGCGGAAATGGGATAAGGAATATAATCTTCGTCCCTAACCCGATTTAGGTAATGTAGAAATGAATATAATCTCCATTCCCGACCCCATTTAGGTAACGGTGAGAAATCTCTCCCCACTCCTCCATATTTGAATAAGGATTTCTCATCTACAACAGCCCGAGGATAAAGAGTATAATTTTCATTCTCGGGCCCCATTTAGGGAACAGAGAGATGAATATAATCTTCATCCCCGGACCCATTTAGGTAACGAAAAGCTGAATATAATCTCCATTTCGACCCCATTTAAGTAACAGAGAGAAATTTATCTTCACTCTCTCCGTATTTAAACAAGGATTTCTCATCGGTAAAAAGCCCAAGCTCATTGCTAGTAGATATTGTCCGCTTTGGCTGTTACATAGTGTCATTAACCTCATAGTTTTAAAACGCGTCTATTAGGAGAGGTTTCCAAATCCTTATAAGGAATGCCTCGTTCCCCTCCCAACTGATGGGGATCTCACAATCCACCCCTCGGGGTCTAGCATCCTCACTAACACATTGTCGTTGTCTGACTTTAATACCATTTGTAACAGCCTAAGCCCACCGCTAATCAATATTATTCGTTTTGATCTGTTACGTATCGGTTTCATCAAGACAAGTCCCCACATATTAAATAGACATCTCTAATCTTACTTGGTATAGATTCATAGCTTGCACTGAGTGTTTAACTAAAACTAGGACAAATTGACCCCTTTGGAGAGGAAGGTTAACCCAATTGTCACTCCTATGTATGGCTTGGGGATTGACTTGCTTGGACAACTAAAGTAGGACTTGCAACTTATGATATCTCCTAGCTAGCTTACCATCACGTCACAGAACGATCCGACTTGAAGTGGACTCAAGGAGAAGGAAAGGGCGGGAATAAGCAAGTGTTCTAGGAGACACCCCAAAAAAGAGTTCAATCTAAAAAGAAAAGAGAACTCTCAACTTTTTGACTTTGCTTCATTCAAAAGACGAACAATCTGTTAGACGAACACGACTCTCCACAATGGTATGATATTGTCCACTTTGAGCATAACCTCTCATGGTTTTGGTTTGGGTTTCCCCAAAAAGGCCTCATGCCAATGGAGATAGTATTATCCAACATCTCCCCTTAATCGAGGCTCGACTCCTTTTTCTTTTGGAGTCCTTTGTTCAAAATTTGAGCATTCTATTGGCATGACTAAGTTTAGGGCATGACTTTGATACCATGTTAGACGAACACGACTCTCCACAATGATATGATATTGTCCACTTTGAGCATAACCTCTCATGGCATTGCTTTTGGCTTCCCCAAAAGACCTCATATCAATGGAGATAGTATTATCCAACATCTCCCCTCGAACAAAGTACATCTTTCCTTAATCGAGGCTCGACTCCTTTTTCTTTTGAAGTCCTTTGTTCGACATTTGAGGATTCTATTGGCATAACCAAGTTGACTCTAATACCATGTTAGACGAACACGACTCTACACAATGGTATGATATTGTCCATTTTGAGCATAAGCTCTCATGACTTTGCTTTAGGGTTCTCCAAAACGCCTCATACCAATGGAGATAGTATTCATTGATTATAAACCGAGGATCATTCCCTAAATTAGCTGACGTGGGACTTTCATCCAACACCACTAACACCCCCACCTAGTCGTATGAGACAGGGTAGTAATTTCCAATTAATAAAAAAGATCGAAAACATCCTCCGAGTTTCTCTTTCATTCACCCGTTCCATATCTACAGAAAAATACAATACCTTTAAACTAAAAAATTCAGAGACGAGAATAATATTTTTCCCTTTCTCTCTCTTTCTCTCTCTCTCTCTCCTCACATACTTTCTTGTCCATCTTAACTCTCTAGGCATCTCTTTTCCTTGTCTCCTCCTTCCTCTTATCATCACTTCATCCTCTCTAGTACTTTCCCCTTTGCCTTAATCTTCCTTTAATTCTCCTAATTCCAATTAATTTAACCCTTTTTCCTCTAATTTTCATATTAATTTCCCCATCTTTTCCCCTTTTTTTAATTTCTTCCCAATAAAAACCCTCAAATTCTTCAAGATCTGAACCAAAGATTTGATTTTTAAAGCACCCTTTGAAGATGGCTAACCGGTGGTGGACCTCCGCCCAGATGGGTCTTCCCGGAGTTGATCATACATCCACAACCTCCTCTGCCTTGAGAAAACCAGATCTCGGAATCTCAATGAACAACAACGGCGGTGGTGGCAGCGATGACGATGACGATAGAGACAACGGTGGCAGCGATGAGCCTAAGGAAGGAGCTGTCGACGTTCCCTCTCGCCGCCCTCGTGGCCGTCCACCCGGGTCTAAGAATAAGCCTAAGCCTCCTATCTTTGTTACTAGAGATAGCCCTAATGCCCTAAAAAGCCATGTCATGGAGATTTCTAATGGCGCTGATATGGTTGAGTGTGTCGCTCAATTCTCCCGTCGTCGTCAGAAAGGTGAAATTTAAATTGATCGTGAATTTATAAGTACGAGATTTTCGGAAATTATGCTTAAGGTGGACAATATCGTGTTATTGTGGATTTAGGTGTGTCTGTGCTTAGTGGTAGTGGGACGGTAACGAACGTGACCCTTCGGCAACCGTCGGCCCCTGGTGCAGTCTTGACACTCCATGGTCGATTTGAGATCCTTTCGTTGACCGGAACTTTCCTCCCTGGACCAGCTCCGCCCGGCTCGGCGGGCCTAACGATCTACTTAGCTGGTGGTCAAGGGCAAGTGGTGGGTGGTACTGTCGTCGGGCCACTCACTGCTGCCGGTCCGGTGATGGTGATAGCTGCGACGTTTTCCAATGCGACATACGAGCGATTACCGTTGGAAGAGGAGGAGGACGGAGGAGGAGGAGGACAAGGTCTGGCATCAACCGGAGGTGGTGGTGGAGGGGATACTTCACCACAAGGCATTGGTGGCGGAGTGGGAGATCCATCAGCTATGCCGCCGTTGTACAATTTACCGCCGAACTTACTGCCGAATGGTGGCGGTGGGCAGATGAATCAGGAGGCTTATTCTTGGGCTCACGGCGGCCGGCCGCCGTTCTAAGGCGGTGGATAAAGGTTAGGAAGTGTTTAAGATTTATGCAAATATATAAAGTGTGTGAAAAATACTTGAATTGTTCTATGCAAATATAAGGAGTTATCTTTATATTTAATATCTTCAAGAAAATTCATCATCTTTAAACTATATAATATACATTAAATTGATAACATAAAATAAAAACTCTGGACCATTAGTTAAAAATATATATATATTTCGAAACTCGAGCTTAATTACAAACATTTTCTTTATTATATAAAAACCGAGATCAGAGCACGGACATAGTTCAAGTGATCAGTATTACCATCCTTTCCTCATTCGAGTGAAAACCCGAGAAAATCAGAAATTAGGGCATTGAGCATAGCTCAAACGATCATATAATAGTGATGTCTCTCCTATGAATTACAAATTTTAATTCTCTGTTACGAACGATAGGTCAAGTAAGAGCAAAAATCGAAGTTAACTGTTGTTGAATTCATGAGAAATTAGGGTTTAAGCTTAGGCTCGAGAAATTAGGGTTTGAGCTTAGGGCTAGCAGCCAATTTTTTATTTTTTTTATTTTAATATTAAGATGTTTTTTAAAACTATTTTTTTGGGTTTTCTTATTTTTATATATTGATTAAAAATATAATAAATATAAATAAAAAATATTTTACAATAAAACATAATTTTTTTTTATTTCTATAAAATAAAGAATTATTTAAAAATAACTATCAATCATAAGCAACCTCTATATTAAATAATTAGATTTGATTAAACTTTTTTATTTTTAATTAAATATTTTAATAATTTAAAATTATATATTATTAATTAATATTATATAATATTAAACTAAGAAAAAGTAGAAAATGGGTGTAACTCCCAAGGCTATGTTTTGTTCTTTTATATATAATTTAAACAAAATCTTTATATATTAATATATTAATAAAAAAATTTGTCGTTTACCCATTAATGCAACAATAATTCCACCATTAATTTTCTTAACATGTGATAAATAAGTAAAATTTTAATTTCATTATATGAATTAAAAATTATTTAACGAAAAGATATATATTTATATATATATATATATATATTGAAATATAAAGTCAAAAAGAAAAAAAGATATGTGGGTCATGAGTTAATAAACAAATAATAATAATAATTAAAGAGAAAAAAAAATAAAAAAATTTAATATTTATATTTTTGTTTGGTGTTAAGACTTTAAGAAAAGTAAGGCCACGTATATAATATAATTTAATTTAGTGGGAGAGAGGTTTGGGGAAGGTAGTAATTAATTAATTAATTAAATTATTTATTTATTTATTTTATAGAAGTGCAATTTTTAAAATAGAGAAAGGATGTTTATTTCAAAAATAATATATTTTTTTATTATTAAAATTAATAAATGTGAAATCTTACCTAATAGTTTTTTAAAAATTAATTTTTGTATATTTTATTTCACTATGTTTCCATAATAATTTTGAAATTAAATTGGTCAAAAATATTCTTCATCTATAATAATTTTACTTAAAAAATTTTAAAATTAAAATGGCTTATGTAACCTTTATAATCATAATTTTTAAAATTTTAAGGAATAAATATTATTTACTAACCTTTTTATTTTTGCTGTTAAATCTACTTTCAAAATTATATTTTTAAATTAAACCCAAATTTCTAAAACTAAAAAAAAAATAGTTTTCCATTTTTTAAATATATATATATATATATATATATATATATATATATATATATATATATATATATAACTTTAATTTTGAAAAATAAGTTAATGATGTCGGAAAAAATCTTGATCTTCTCAAACCTAAAAAAGGCATATTGTGATGTCCTACATTGGTTGGGGAGGAGAACAAACCACTATTTATAAAGGGTGTGGAAATCTCATCGTCCTTGAGGGGAATCTCGAAAGGAAAAGTCCAAAGAGGACAATATTTGCTAGCGGTGGATCTGGGCCGTTACGAATGGTATTAGAGTCAGACACTGGACAATGTGTCAGCCTTCTCGCTATTCCCCGAAGGGGGGTAGACATGAGACGGTGTGCCAGTAAGGACGCTAGGCCCCAAAAAGGGGTGGATTTGGGGGCGGTCCCACATCGATTAGCCTTCTCGTTGTTCCCCGAAGGGGGTAGACACGAGGCGGTGTGCCAATAAAGACGTTGGGCCCCAAAAAGGGGTGGATTTGGGGGTGGTCCCACATCGATTGGAGGAAGGAAAGAGTGCCAGCGAGGACGCTGGCCCTCGAAGGGAGGTAGATTGTGATGTCCCACATTGGTTGGGGAGAATAACAAACCACCATTTATAAGGGTGTGGAAACTTCCTTCCCCTAGTAGACGCGTTTTAAAGTCTGGAGGGAAAGCCCAAAGAGGACAATATCTACTAGCGGTGGATTTGGGCCATTACACATATTATTGAACAAGACCCTAAAACGAATAATTCGATCACTATAGTTTCTTAGCTAAGCTAAATTTAATGAAACGAATATAAAAACATTAGGTTATATTAATTTAATTAAACGAGTTAATACGAATGTAACATTATGTAAAAAGAATCTTAGGGTTCTTGAGGCAACAAGAGAGGACCCTCTTCACATGGAATCACATGTCATTGCCTATAAAAAAAAAACCCTAAAAAAATATTTTTTAATTACTTGCAATACCCTAAGGGCCCCACCAAAAATTAAATCAATTTAATTAAAATAATCTTGGAATTAAATAATAATAATAAATGGAAAATATTATTAATTAAATTAATAATTAAAAAAAAATCCATTAAGGAAATATGGACCACTTGATAAAGTCAAGTTTGATTAAATTTTGTATTGTTAATGGGGAATCACTTTTGTTATGTTATTAATTAATTAATATTCTTTATAGCTTTTTGAGAATTATTTTATTTAATTTACAAAGAAATAGTTAAAGTAAATAATGGTAACTCTACCCGTTGTTAAATATATTTTACTTGAACCAATTATGTGAGTAAACATACAGCATACTGAAATGACTCACGTTAATTTATGAAAATAATTTTTATTCTTAATAAACAGATAGTAAGTAACGTGACCTTGTGATATAAGAGAATGTCGGGACTATCAGGTGTCTAATCAAGATTCTGAATCATGGGTATGGATCTTTACCGATCAAACGTTGAAATTGACTTTAAATAAAATAAAGTCAAAATAATTATAAATTACTAACTTCATTTAAAAAACAATTTTTTTTTTCAAATTTTAGTAATGGGTTTGGAAATATTTGTAATAAGTAGAAAATAAAAAAATTGATTAAATAAAAACTTTAATTAAATGATTATTATAATTTAAGAATAGTTTATGCATTTTATAATTTTTTATAACAATAAATTTTTAGTAAAAGAATATAATATTATTAGTTGACATTTTTTTAATAATTATAATAATAAGAAAAAGACACGTTGGTTAAAATAAAATATTACTGAAAAGTATAATTAAACAATAAAATAAAATTATAGCTAAAATAATAACCTAATAATTTTTTTAATGTGCAATAATTTTACCAAATAAAGTAATATTAAATAATTAAAAGTTATTATTAAAACATGTATTTTATATTTGTAGTAATTAAAAATTATTTAAAATTAGTCACTTTTTTTTTTATAAAAATTTTAAAATTTTATTTATAAGAATTATTATTACTATTTAATTAATTTCTACTTTGTTACGACTTCACTCCAGTCACTAGCTTTGTCTTCGACATCTCCCTCCTTGGCGGTTAAGGTAACGACTCCCATAGTGTGACAGATGGTGTGTACAAGGTCCGGGAACAAATTCACCATCGTATGGCTGACCGACGATTACTATGATTCTGGTTTCATGCAGGCGAGTTGCAACCTACAATCCGGACGAGTTTTTGGAGTTAGCTTACCTTCGCGGGATCACGACCCTTTTTCCTGACCATTGTAGCACGTGTGTTGCCCAGGGCATAAAGGGCATGATGACTTGATGTCATCCTCACCTTCCTCTAGCTTATCACGGTAGTCTATTCAGAGTTCCAACCTCAACAATTGACAACTAAACACAAGGGTTGCACTCGTTGCGAGACTTAACCCAACACGTTACAGCACGAGCTGATGACAGGCATGCACCACCTGTGTCCACGTTCCCGAAGGCACCCCTCTCTTTCAAGAGGATTTGTGGCATGTCAAGCCCTGGTAAGATTCTTCGCTTTACATTGAATTAGATCTAAAAAAAATGTTTTAACCCGATTCAACCAAAGCATAGGACAAAGAATATGCCGGGTAATTAGGGTTTCATGAGGCGAAAAGATTTAAAAATAAAATAAAATGAAGTTATTCCTTTCTTTGTCCATTAATTATTAATGTTTTATTATTGTCTAAAGAATTTCCTTTTAAGCATTAGGAAAGGAAAAGGTGAGGTCTTAACCTAAATCAACCCTAAACCATATATTATAATCCACATTACACCTTTATTCACTAACCTTTCCACTCAACAATTCACTACTTTACACTTTTAATAATAAAGCTGAAATGTTCTAAAATCTAATGATTTTTAGGTTTTAATTTTAGTTTTCGATGTGTTACAATTGTACGTCCGGTTCTGAAGGACAACCAATGTAGGAGGCCAGCTTACTTACTTCCACCACTGGTAGGAGAATTCAAAGGTGATTCGAAGGTGTAACAACCCGACAGTCTCACAGTTCTAAGACGCATTTGTTAGAGAGAGGTTTCCACTCTTATGAGAAATGCTTCGTTTCCTTCGGATCTCACAATATACCCCCTTTAGAGGCCCATCGTCCACCTGGCACACCGTTTAGTGTCTGACTCTAATATCATTTGTAATTGCACATGTTTATTGCTAATAGATATTGTTTACTATGACCCGTTAAGCATCGTTATCAGTTTCACAATTTTAATACACGTCTATTAAAGAGAGGTTTCTACACCCTTATAAAGAATGCTTCGTTCCCCTCTCTAACTGATGTGGGATCTTACATACGGATACATAGCTAAAGCAAGTAAAATATCCCCTTTCTAATCCATCGCAAATCAAGATAAACTGAGCACTATGATTAGGATCATCATGCACTATATAGTCCAAACCCAACGAAGAACCACTTGAAAGTTTGAAACCTATTAGAAACGCTCTAACTATTAAACTTAAACGATCGATAGTTTACGAAACGTTTTTGGCTCGAAAGTTCAAACAAATGTATTAGACACGTTGTGCTCAAATTGGCAACCGACCAAATCGAAACAAAATCAAGCGAGGCTTGGAACAAGAAGTACACTAAAACTCAACTTTTCTGTTTGAGTATAGTATATAAGTAACTATACAACTAAATATGTAATTCCTAAAAAAAAATGTAATTTTTAAGAAAGGTGAGTAATGAACTAAGAACAAAAAATATTGAAACATAAGAATCAAGTCTTCTTCTCTTCTCCTCTAACAAATGTATACCTTCATTCCACCCTGCAATTTGGAAATGGTATCACTTAAAATCATGTCATATATCGCTAATAAAACACTAGATTCGTAGCTATTTGGAGCTATTATTGCAAACCGCCTCTAAAAAATTATGAGGCCCAAGTAAAGAAAGAGCACACGAATGACGAGACGAGACCATATTCGTATGAAGGTGATTGAGACAGACTGAAAAAGAATTGAAATTACTTCCTATCTATGTCAATGGCTCAATCATAAAAACTTCAAAACTAAGTGTGCTTAGTTTATGATGACCTCTTTAACAAGCATATGAGTGAAAACAAAATAGGTTGAAAGGACCCGTGTAGGTTTATAAGGATAGTCTTCACTCTTAAAAACGATAATAAGTAGGTAAAGTGATCATGTCACAAGGGACTCACGAAAATATCAAGGCCATTAGCTGAAAAAGAATTGAAGTTACTTCCTATGTCAATGACTCAATCGTAAAAACTCTAAAATTAAGCGTGCTTAGTTTAGAACAATTCTACGTTGGATGATGACCTCATAGGATTTTTCCGAAGAAGCATACGAGTGAAAACAACATATGTTGAAAGAACCCGCGTGGGTTTATGAGAATAGTCTTCACTCTTAGAAACGATAACAAGTAGGTAAAGTGATCATGTCATAGGGGACGCAGGAAAATATCGAAACCAGCAGGTGCCAAATCTTAATCTAAGTCCTAAGTATATGTGTGTGTGCGCGCACGTGTGAATAATCTATACACAATTATTAAGAAGATATACAACAGTTACCTTGGAATTAGTATTCATTAACACGCATCCACTTTGTACATGACCATTTGTTCCCTCTTATGACAGGGCAAGCACCTACATATCACAAGAATGTCAAATTAATTCTACTTCACCATCCTTGAGCAAAGGCATATGTATTGTTCATTAGAATTGGTGCAGGAGATATCACTAACCATGCAAACTTGTAGGATCTACGGTATTATCAGGCTTCATGCTCCAGAACAATAATGCATCACCCATCTTTGGTTTTACAGAGAGTCCACCTTTACCACATTCAGACAGTTCATTCCACCCAGGCAACGAGCTGAAGTTGCCTTCGGCTGCTGGGAACACTGTCTCGCCCCCTTCTTCGACGTCTGACCTGCATTCGTATCGGTTATAGTTTTAGAGAGAAGTAGAGAAGGGAAGATGAGTTTGAGAGATGTCTAAGTTGAATCTTACAGATACATGAGAAGGGTGGCCATTCTTTGGCCTCCTTGTTTGATGTTGAACTCATCAGCAAAGTAATCATGGTGAGCATCATACTTCTGCCCGACTTCATAGTGCAGAATTTGAAGTGCTTCTCCATGCTCTGTTTGGAATAGTGAATATCAACATTAATACCAAAATGTATTGAGATCAAGAATGTCAGTGGTGTCTACAAAGCATCAACAAGCAAATGAATAGTGTTCACCAAAGCCCTGAGTGGTTTGGGCCTCAAAACTAGAATGGAAAACAAACCCACATTCTCTGTGCTCGGTTGAATTCGTGAATATCGACAGTAATACCAAAATGAACTAAGACCAAGAATGTTACTAACATCAACCAAGCATCAACAAGCAAATGTGTGAATCACACCTCGATTGGAGAGGGGAACAAAACATTCTTTATAAGGGTGTGGAAACCTCCCCATAGCAGACGCATTTTAAAAACCTTGAAGAAAAGTCTGAAAGGGAAATTCAGAAAGGACAATATCTGCTAGCGGTGGGCTTGGAATGTTATAAATGGTATTAGAGACAGACACTGGGCAATGTGCCAGCGAGGATGTCGGACCCCGAAGGGGTGGACATCGGGCGGTGTGCCAGCAAGGATGCTGACCTCGAAGGGGGTGGACACCGGGCGGTGTGCCAGCAAGGATGCTGACCTCGAAGGGGGTGGACACCCGACGGTGTGCCAGCAAGGATGTTGACCTCGAAGGGGGCGGACACCGTGCGGTGTGCCAGCAAGGATGCTGACTTCGAAGGGGGTGGACACCGGACGGTGTGCCAGCGAGGACGCTAAACTTGGAAGGGGGTGGACACCGGACGGTGTGCCAGCAAGGTCACTGACCTCGAAGGGGGTGGACACCGGACGGTGTGCCAACGAAGACGCTAGACCTGGAAGGGGGTGGACATCGGATGGTATGCCAGTGAGGACGCTAAGCCTCAAAGGAAGGTGGACACCAGACAGTGTGCTAGCTAGGACGCTAAGCCTCAAAGGAAGGTGGACACAAGGCGGTATGCCAGCGAGGATGTTGGGCCCTAAAGGGGGGTGGATTGAGAAATCCCACATCGATTAGAGAGGAGAATGAAACATTCTTTATAAGGGTATAGAAACATTTCACCACATGACTCATTTTAAGAACTTTAATAGGAAACCGGAAAGGAAAAGCTTAAAAGAGGACAATGTCTACTCACGAACCTATAGGGCAGTTACAAAATAGATGACTTGTTCACCAAACCCCTGCCTCGTTTGGCTAGTCTAACCATGTTTTTGAACTATCATTGAACAGCTTGATGTTATTGAATACAGTGAAATAACTACACTACTGTACCACGTATAGAACAAATCTTGTTGAAGTGTCCCACCTGACAAGACTAACACATAGAAACAAAATTTCCAAAACAATGATTCAAACATGTTTTGAAGCCCTTATAGATAAGAATCATCACAAGAAGCATGAGAAATTGACCAAGGTAACATGCAAATTTGGATATCATTACCTACGGGAATGAATGTAAAATCTGCTATTCTTTTCTCTATGTTGCTGACAATTTTGTTCTGCCCTCTTTTCAGAAACATCCCTGAACTGGTGCGCACCCTGTGGACATGACATGGTAAGCCCCACCAACGTTAGTTCATTGTCAGGATAGACAAATTCCATTGATGACAAACATGAAAATGACAAACACAGACCTGCTATCTATACTCTTCCCAGTTTTATTATCCACCACAGTTGATTTAGCCATGTGAGGTTTTGCAAGACTAATCAAATACAAGCATTCTTCCTTGGACTGTTCAAAATCATTCATATCAGCAAGCATTTCGACCAAAAACATGGCAAAAACCAAACAAAAAAGCCAAACGAAATCCAAAATTCAGAGAACTTACCAAGAAATTGTGATAAACAAAAGCCCTAGGCTCCCACGAAATGAACTCAACCCACTGATCCCCTCTCTTCCCCAACCCATCACTGCAACAAAAAAAGAGGGTTGGACTCCAAAATCAAAAATCAAAATCAAAATCAAAATCAAAATCATTGCCGAAGTACCTATGAACGGCTCTATGCTGGACGGAAGCGACACGGTGTAGTAGATTGCTATGAGAACTTTCAGGAGGAGAGAAGAATCGGAAAGCGATGAGCATGGAAACCCCAAGTGCCAAAAGGAAGGCCATGATTATCTTGGAAAGCTTGAATGTGGACCATTTCCGGGCCTGAAACTTGACGTATTTCCCTTTCGACACCGCCATTAAAGAACGAATAAGCTTCAGAAGAATCAAACCCCGATTCCGATAAGCTGCTACATCTGAAATTGAAGCAAAGATCAATATATAGAACTGGGGTTGGGGGAGACTTGGCCATAGAGGAAACTGGGGGGAAATTTTTGGTGGGCATTCCGGATTTGTGTGCGCCCACAGGGAGATGGAAGACTGAGGAACTGGATTTATGGGTTTCGGACTTTTCTGGATTTTGGGAGACGTAGGCGTAACTGTTCCGGATGATAAATGATATCACATCTTAATATGAACATAACATACTTAATCGGTTATCGAATATAGATTTCAAATGTTCTTGATGTTCGAATTCTCAAGAACATCAAAAATATGATAGAATAATTAAATATGGTGGACTGCACAAGGTTTTCCCTTGGTCTATAATTTTGATTAGTATTTTATATTTATTGTCTACATAGAAATTTTGTATTTTTATATTTAAATTTAGTATTTATTAGAACTTCCTCTTTTTTATGGATGACTTTTGAAATGTAACGAAGTTTAAATGAATTTCGTTGTTTATTATTTACGGTTTTAAAACGTTGAGATTTGTAGATCAAAGAATGTTAAGTTCTCTTCTCCAACCAATGTGGGATCTTACAATCCACCCTTTCCCCTAGAGGCCGAATATTTTCAATGGCACATCGTCTGGTGTCTAACTCTGATATCATTTGTAATAGTCCAAAAGCTAGTGCTAGTACATATTATTTGCTTTGGTCTGTTATGTATTGTTTATCGTCATTAGTCTCACGATTTTAAAATGCGATTAACCCTTATAAGGAATGCTCGGTTCCCTTCTCTAACCAATGTGTGATCTCACAATCCACCTTTTCGGAGGCCCAATGTCTTCGTTGGCACACCGCCCAGTGTCTGGCTCTAATACCATTTGTAATAACCCAAAAGCCACTACTAGTATATATTATCTGTTTTGGCTTGTTACGTTTCGTCATCAGCATCACGATTTTAAAACACGTTTACTAAGAAGAGGTTTCCACACCCTTTTCAGAAATGCTCTGTTCCCCTCTCTAACCAATATGAAATCTCACAATTCACCTCCTTGGAGGCCCAATGTCCTTGTTGGCAACCCGGTGTATGGCTCTGATACCATTTGTAATAGTCCAATGTCACCACTGTAGATATTGTCCACTTTGGTCAGCTTCACTGTTTTAAGACACGTCAGGAAGAGGTTTCCACCCCCTTCTACACCCTTATAAGGAACGCTCTATTCCCCTGTCCAACCAATGTGGGACCTCACAATTCATCCCCCTTGGGCGCTCAACGTCCTTGCTAGCATACTACCCAGTGTTTGGCTCTGATACCATTTATAATAGCCTAAGGCTACCGTTAGCAAATATTGTCAGTTTTGATCAACCTCATTGTTTTAAAACACGTCTACTAGGAAGAGATTCTCACACGAAATGTTTCGTTCCCCTCTCCAACCAATGTGAGATCTCCCTATGTCTCATAAAAATGTGATATTTTGCAAGATTTTGAAATTTTGAAGCAAGTTATTTGGCATCAATGTGCAAACTACAACTGCAACACTAAACTCTATTGAAGTTGGTCGGGTGGAACACTGAATACTGTTAAAGTTGATACGACGGTGAAGTTATTTACTCACTATGTTATAATGTATGTAGATCAAACTGAGAATAAAGTATTTTAGCTCACTCCACCAACCATCGAACTTTAAGCCGGTTGGCCATACTACAACCATAGAATTAGCTAACACAATGAAGCAAAAATTGTTGGCATTGCAGCTGTTGATATTTGTAGTCACGTCTTGTCTCGTATGTTAACTCTCATTCAAGAATCTGATCGCAATCTTCGTTTTTGGGAGAATGATGGTTTGTTCTTCTTGCACAAAGAAGTTCCCAACCTCATAAAAACCCGAGTTCGGAAAAGGGAAACGATGAACGGACTGAGTGTGCCAATGTACCTGTAAAATCATAAGCAATGGTCGTGCCATCCAGACCTATTCTCCAGTCGAATCGAGGAGATATCATGTTCACTCCCCAGGGTTGAAGCAAGAAATGACTCTCCCCGATACCTTGGTGCTCATCGTTTCCCTGACTTGATTACCTCCCAAGTCAATGTTCGAACTATAGCGTAGACCTGACATCAATGTCCCACCCGTGGGTGAGGACAACTTGCCAACAGATGTATCGTCTTTAATAACTCTACCAGCTTCCTTTGTCGGGTCGATTACAGAAGTACCAACAATAACCTGATATGGAAGGGTCTGTACAAGAATGAACTAAGAAAAAGAATAATACATCTAAAACTCTTCATGCAATAAAACATTCAGACGTTGATCGGTGGTAGGTCATCAAGGATACGTAGCCGAAGCAAGTAAACAATCCTCTTTTTCATCCATCGAAAATCTAGATAAACTGAGCATTCCACCGGTGGCGGGGTGGCGGGTCAAGGTTTTGAAGGATACGTAGTCGAAACAAGTCAAATCCTCTTTTTCATTCATCGAAAATCAAGATAAACGGAGAATTCCACCGGTGGGAGGTCAAAAGTTCAGAGGATACGTAGCCAAAGCAAGTCAAAAATCCTATTTTTCATCTATCGAAAATCAAGATAAATTGAGCACTACGATGAGACGCACGACATGATCCAAACCCAACTAAGAACCACTTAAAAGTTTGAAACCAAGCTCAAACTATTAAAACTTAAAAAAGAAATTCATAGTTTATGAAACATTTTTGGCTCGAAAGGTTAAATAAGGAACTGTGCTATGTTCAAATTGAGAACCGAGCAAATCGAAATAAAAACAAAACGACAAAAGGACCGAATTGATTTAACATATCTTAGAACAAGGTAAAAAAAGTAGCAAAATTTAAAGTTGAAGCAAGGCTTGGAACAAGAAGTACACTAAAACTCAACTGTTCTATGAACTACTCTTTTGTTTGCAAACAACAACAAAAAACGAAACAAAACAAAAAAAAAAAAAGGGTAATTTTTAAGAAAGGTGAGTGATAAACTAAGAACAACATAAGAGTTAAGTCTTCTTCACAACAAGTGTATACCTTCATTCCACCCTGCAATTTGGAAATGGTCTCACTTAAAATCATGTCATATACTCAAACCCACTTCTAAATATTATGACACCCAAGTAAAAAAAAAGAGCACACGAATGACGAGACGAGACCATATTCATATGAAAGTGATTGAGACAGAATAAAAAAAAATCGAAGTTACTACCTATACCCAAGGTGCACGTTCCTTTTCAGTGGCTTAATAATAAAACACCCAAATTAAGCGTTCTTAGCTTCGAACAATTCTAAGTTGGATGATGAAAGCATACGAGTGAAAACAAAATATGCTGAAAATGCCCGTGTTGGTTTGTAACAATTAGTCTACGACAACAAGTAGGTAATGTGGTATGCCGCACAGGAGACACAAGAAAATATTGAGACCATCTGAATCTTAAATCTTGATATGAGTCCTAAGTATATATGTGTGTATATATAATATAGGAACATTGTGTTCTTACCTTTGAATTAGTATTCATTAACATGCATCCACTTTGTACATGACCATTTGTTCCCTCTTATGACAGGGCAAGAACCTACATATCACAAGAATGTCAAATTAATTCTACTTCACAATCATTAAAATGATCCCACAGCCCTGATAAAAGGCATGTGTGTTGTTCATTAGAATCAACTAGATGGAAATATTGAAGATTTTGGTGAAGGAAATATCACTAACCATGCATACTTGTAGGATCTAAGGTATTATCAGGCCTCATGCTCCAGAACAATAATGCATCTCCCATCTTTGGATTTAGAGATAGTCCACCTTTACCACATTCAGACCGTTCATTCCACCCAGGCAAAGAGCTGAAGTTCCCTTCGGCTGCTGGGAACACTGTCTCACCCCCTTCTTCGACGTCTGACCTGCATTCGTATCGGTCACGGTTTTAGAGAGAGTAGAGAGGGGAAGATGAGTTTGAGAGATGTCTAAGTTGAATCTTACAGATACATGAGAAGAGTGGCTATTCTTTGGCCGCCATGTTTGATGTTGAACTCATCGGCAAAGAAATCATAGTGAGCATCATACTTCTGCCCGACTTCATAGTGCAGAATTTGAAGTGCTTCTCCGTGCTCTGTTTGGAATAGTGAATATCAACATTAATACCAAAATGTACTGAGACCAAGAATGTCAGTGATGTCTACAAAGCATCAGTAAGCAAATGAATAGTGTTCACCAAAGCCCTGCTTGGTTTGGGCCTCAAAACTAGAATGGAAAACAAACCCACATTCTCTATGCTCTGTTGAATTTGTGAATATTGACAGTAATACCAAAATGAACTAAGACCAAGAATGTTACTAACATCAACAAAGCATCAACACAAGCAAATGTGTGAGATCCCAAATTGATTAGAGAGGAGAACAATTTAGAAGGGTGTGGAAACCTCTCCCTAGCAAACGTGTTTTAAAAACCTTGAGGAGAAGCCTAAAAGGGAAAGCCCAAAGAGGACAATATCATCTAGCGGTGAGCTTGGTCCATTACAAATGGTATCCAAGTCAGACACTAGGCGATGTGCTAGTGAGGACGTTGAACCCCGAAGGCGGGTGGACACCAAGCGGTGTGCTAGCGAGGACGTTGAGCCCCAAAGAGAGGTGGACATTGGGAGGTGTGCCAGTGAGAACGCTGAGCCCATAAGGAAGGTGGACAGTGGACAGTGTGTGAGCGAGGATGTTGAGCCCCAAAGGAGCGTGGATAAGGGTGTGGACACCTCTTCCTAGCAGACACGTTTTAAAAACCTTTGAGAAGGAACCAAAAGAGAAACCCAAAGAGGACAAACATAACAGCTTAATGTTATTGAATACAGTGAAATAACTATCTTCACAACTCAACGACACTATTGTACAACATATGAAACAAATCTTGCTTAAGTAAGGTCGTCAATCAAATCACTATCTTGTCCCACCAGACAAGACTAACACACACAAACAAAATTCCAAAACAATGATTCAACATGCTTTGAAGCTCTTATAGATAAGAATCATCACAAGAAGCATGAGAAATTGGCCAAGGTAACATGCAAATTTGGATATCATTACCTACGGGAATGAATGTAAAATCTGCTATTCTTTTCTCTATGTTGCTGACAATTTTGTTCTGCCCTCTTCTCAGAAACATCCCGGAACTGGTGCGCGCCCTGTGGACATGACATCGCAAGCCCCACCAACGTTAGTTCATAGTCAGGATTGACAAATTCTATTGATAACAAACATGAAAATGACAAATACAGACCTGCTATCTATATTCTTCCCAGTTTTAATATCCACCACAGTTGATTTTTCCATGTAAGGTTTTGCTAGACTAATCAAATACAAGCATTCTTCCTTGGACTGTCCAAAATCACTCATATCAGCAAGCATTTCAACCAAAAACATGACAAAAACCAAACAAAAAGCCAAAAGGAATCCAAAATTCTGAGAACTTACCAAGAAATTGTGATAAACGAAAGCCCTAGGCTCCCATGAAATGATCTCAACCCACTGATCCTCTCTCTTCCCCAACCCATCACTGCAACAAAAAAAAAAAGGGGGTTCGATTCCAAGTTCAAAAATCAAAATCAAAATCAAAATCATTTGATTCCGCTAATAAGCATTGCCAAAGTACCTATGAACGGCACTATGCTGGACAGAAGCGAGACGGTGGAGTAGCTCGCTATGAGAACTTTCAGGAGGAGAGAAGAATCGGAAGGCGATGAACATGGAAACCCCAAGTGCCAAAACGAAGACCATGATTATCTTGGAAAGCTTGAATGTGGACCATTTCCGGCCCTGAAACTTGATGTATTTCCCTTTCGACACCGCCATTAAAGAACGAAGAAGCTTCAGAAGAATCAAACCTCGATTCCGATAAGCTGCTACTTCTGAAATTGAAACAAAGATTAATATATATAACTGGGGTTGGGCGAGACTTGGCCATGCAGGAAATTGGGAGGAAATTTTTGGTGGGAAATCCGGATTTGTGTGCGCCCACAGGGAGATTGAAGAACAAATCACTGGATTTATGAGTTTCGGATTTTTCTGGATTTTGGGCGATGTAGTCGTAACTGTTCCTAGATGACTTGGTTTTTTATGGTAACGACAGCAAACCTGCTCTTTTTGTAAATTCAAGGTAAGATTAGATTATATGAATTGATATTGGGTCTAAATAAGAATGATATGAAATATTTAATTTAGCGATCGTTAGATAGTGAATGATTCCTAATTTATAGTTACTTATTTTTGTTAAGTAACTATTTTTACGTTAAACCTACGCAATTGAAATAAGTGGGAAGTACACGTTTATGGGAGAGCATTATTAAGTTGCCATTTATTTTTTATTTGTTTGATAATTTGTTGTTTAAATATAATGACAAATGAGATTCTGGTTTTGAGTGCAAATATTTCTTTCTTTTTTTTAGTTATTTTTTTGTTGGAAGGAGTTTTCGTTTTTACTCGGTTGACATTTTCTTCTCAATTGACAGAAGTCAACAAGTGGTATTAGAGCGTTAGCTGGAGCCGACTTTATCAAAAGTCAAGTTGAATAGCTCAAGTAGTTAGAATGTCGACCTAATAACACACATGTCTCAGGTTTAAGTAGAAGAAAATGCAAAGCTCGAAAATATACACATCGTGGGGTCCATCTTGAGTAGACTCGTTCACTCCTCCACGCCGCCGCCGAGTGTCGGCTTCTCCATCACTGCCATTAAGAGAGGCCGATGTCGCGAAGCACACCGCGCAATCGCAATCGCCCTGGGAGGGTACCCCTAGAGGTGCTGGCGTCTCTCTCCACCAAGCGCACCGCGCAATCGCCCTGGGAGGGTATCAAATCCTGTCGGGTTGGTGTGCAGCGAATGCGGGAATCCAACATCGAGCAACTACGGAAGGAGCTCTCGGAGATCCATTTTAAGGATGGCGAATCTGTCGATGACTTTTCAATGCGGTGGGAGCATTAGCGAGATAAAAATCGTGAAGAAGATGTTGCAGGTCACCCCTGATCACCTCGAGCAAGTTACGATTTCAATCGAGACATTACTTGACGTGAACGACCTAACAATGGAAGAGGTGACACGGGAAAGAAGGGGATCAAAATAAGGAGTTGACTAATGGCGAGCCGATCTAGTGCTCGAACTGCGGGAAAAAAGGTCACCTGAGCAAGAATTGTTGGAGCAAGCTTAAGGAAAAAGTCCACGTGGTCCAATCCGAGGAGGACGAGCCGGCTCTTTTCATGGTGAGTGCATCAGTCCTACCCTCCCCAATTCTGGATCCACGGAGGTAATCGACGACGGCATAACTCTGCTCCAGAAGAGGAATGCCCGCTTCAGCTGTCAACAAGGAGGGTCGTCTACTCTTCACTGAGGAGGAATGACTTGCACGCCTAAAGCTCCGCGACAACACCGGCGAGAGCAACAAGTCCTCCAGCCGCAAAGGCGGTAAGAACCCATGGAAATCTGGCAAGCACACGCGCGAGAAAGAAGGGAATCAAAAGAAGGAGTCGACTGATGGCGGGGCAATCCAGTGCTCGAACTGTGGGAAAAAAGGTCATCTGAGCAAGAATTGTTGGAGCAAGCTCAAGGAAAAAGACATTACTTGACGTGAACGACCTAACGGTGGAAGAGGTGACCGGAAGACTGCGTAACGTCGAGCAACAGAAGAAGAATGTCGCTTCAGCTGTTGACAAGGAGGGTCGTCTACTCCTCACTAAGGAGGAATGACTTGCACGCCTAAAGCTCCGTGTCAACACCGGCGAGAGCAATGGGTCCTTCAGCCACAAAGACGGCAAGAAGCCATGGAAATCTCGCAAGCACACGCGCGGGAAAGAAGGGGATCAAAAGAAGGAGTTGACTGATGGCGGGCCGATCCAGTGCTAGAACTGCGGGAAAAAATGCCACCTGAGCAAGAATTGTTGGAGCGAGCTCAAGGAAAAAGTCCACGTGGCCCAATTCGAGGAGGACGAACCGGCTCTTTTCATGGTGAGTGCATCAGTCCTACCCAACATCTCCAATTCCGGGTCGACGGAGGTAATCGACGACGGTGTAGCTCTACTCCAGAAGAAGAATGCCCGCTTCAACTGTCGACAAGGAAGGTCGTCTACTCCTCACTGAGGAGGAATCGCTTGCACGCCTAAAGCTCCGCGACAACACCAGTGAGAGCAACGGGTCCTCCAGCCGCAAAGGCAGTAAGAAGCCATGGAAATCTCGCAAGCACACGCGCGAGAAAGAAGGAGATCAAAAGAAGGAGTCGATTGATGGTGGGCCGATCCAGTGCTCGAACTACGAGAAAAAAGGCCACTTGAGCAAGATCGTTGGAGTAAGCTCAAGGAAAAAGTCCACGTGGCCCAATCCGAGGAGGACGAACCGACTCTTTCCATGGTGAGTGCATCAGTCCTACCCAACGTCCCCAATTTTGGGTCCATGGAGGTAATCGACGATGGCGTAGCTGATTCATTGAGCCTCAAACCCGAGGAAGAGCTCTAGTTAGGTGTAATAAAGGCATCGGCTGAGGAGCCAATTCAACTGAAGGAGGAGCAAGTGTTTGCTCAAATCGGTGAAAGAGACGAGCAGCAAGAGCACCGGCGATGGGTCCTCGACACAGGGACGACAAACCATATGACCGGGGCCAAGTTTGCGTTCTCCAAGCTTGACTTAGGGATTCGCGGGACGGTTAAGTTTGGCGACGGCTCCGTCGTCGAGATCGAAGGGCGCGACACCATCCTGTTCGTCGGCAAAGGAGGCGAGCACCACAAGCTGACCGGCAACTACTTCATCCCGAGGTTCAAGGCTAACCTTGTGAGCCTGGGTTAACTCGATGAGCCGACTGCCACATTTCCATCGAGCGCGGACTACTCAAGATCTGCGATGATCGACGACGGCTGCTCATATAAGTTCGGTGCACAGCAAACTGCCTTTACATCCTAGAGTTGGAGATAGATCAACCAATTAGCCTCTCGGCCAGAACCAAAGAAGTATCTTGGAGGTGGCACGCAAGGTACGGGCACCTAAACTTTTCTGCCTTACAAAAAATACACAAGGAGGAGATGGTGCACGGTTTGTCGGCAATCGAAGGCGTGAACAGGCTGTGCGATGGGTGTCTCATCGACAAGTAGAGGTGCACCCCCTTTCCTTCTCAGGCAGCCTACCGCGCTGGTGAGCCGTTGGAGCTCGTGCACAGCAATATCTGCAGGCCCATCAAGCCATCGACCCCAGGGGGCAAGACCCTCTTCCTCCTGCTGGTCGATGACAAAAGTCGCTTCATGTGGCTGATCCTGCTACAAGCGAAAAGTGAGGCGACAGAAGCGATTAAGCGCATTCAAGCGCGAGCAGAGGCTGAATGCAGGAAGAAGATGCGAGTGTTGCGCATGAACCGAGCCGGAGAACTCACCTCAGCGAGCTTCGGTAAGTACTGCGACGAGCTCGGCATGAAGCGGCGACTAACGGCGCCCTACTCCCCCAACAAAACGAGGTGGTGGAACGCCGAAATAAGACCATCGTCGGGACAGCAAGGTCATTGCTGAAGACAGCTGGGATGCCCGAGAGGTTTTAGGAAGAGGCGGTAATGACGGCCGTCTACCTCCTCAATCGATTGCCAATCCGAAGCCTCGACGGGAAGACGCCACACGAGGCCTAGTACAACAAGAAGCCAGCGGTACATCATCTCCGAGTGTTCGGCTGCATCGCATACATGAAAGACGCGCGTCCCCACCTTGCCAAGCTCGATCCCAGAGGGCTGAAGGTCGTCTTCATCGGCTACGAACCCGAAAACAAGGCATATAGGTTCTATGATCCTATGGAGGGGCAAGCTCACGTGTCGCGCGACGTCATCTTTGACAAGACCACCTTCTAGCAGTGGAACGACGTGACCGAGGCAAACCAAAACTCAAATCAATTTACGGTGGAGTACCTCGTCACCGAGCCGGGAGAAGGAGGAGCACAACATCGAGAATCGTCACCCCTGCCAGCAGCTGCACCGGACACACGCCTATGCCAACCCCAGCCATAACTCCAGCTACACCCCCTAAACTAGTGGAGTTCGCAACACCATGTAGTGCAGATTCGACGCTAGATGCTAATCACGATGATGATCTGGTGGCCAGGTACCGGAGGATGGAAGACCTACTGGGAAGAGGTGAACCATCTGGACTGGCGGCGCGCCAGCTCGAAGAAGAGGTGGCCGAACAAGACGTGGAGTCTGGAGGACATGCCACCAGGGACACCGAGCTTTAGGACTCGAATCGAAGTTCAAACAAAATAAGGTAGATATAGCATAGGGCTTTACAACATGGTTAGATAAATAGTGAATGTGATCCCTAATTTTTAGTTAACTTCTTCTTTTTGTTAGGTAACTATTTTTAGATTAAACCCACACCATTGAAGTGAGTGGGAAGTACCTGTAGAGTGGAAGAGCATCATTCAGTTGCCATTTATTTTTTTTCTATTTTTAGGATAATTTGTTATTTAAATATCCAACTAAATGAGGAAGGAGATCATCCAGTAGGAGATCGTGTTCAACTCAAATATTTCTTTTTTTTTTTTCTAGTTATTTTCTGCTTCAAAGAAGTTTTTCTTCGGCCGTTTTTTACTCCGTCGACATTTTCTTCTCAATTGTCAGAAGTCAACAGTGATATCGAGATGATCGTATATTTGTTTGAATCTCGTCACATCTCCGAATTGTTTGAATCTCGTCACATCTACGAAATTGATTGATGTTCGAATTCTCACCCTACAAAACGTTGAACTAAAAAAATATGATACAGACATTCTATTCGTAAAATATCAATTCCGTTTGTTTGAAAAAAAAAAAAAAAAAA